AATTATTATGATCTAGCATTGGGATATTCAATTAAAGCACTGGTGCTTCTATTATTTGACAATCATGATGAGGAATGTGTCTATATTTACCATATTATAGCTATGATTTATCGAGAAAGAAAACAGTTTGATTTATCATACAAATATCAAAAAAAGACATTAAACATTCAAAAACATCTTCTCACAAAAAATCACCCTGAATTAGGTATAACCTATCAGAATGTAGCAATCATATTTGATGGTATGAAAAATTATCAACAAGCAAATGATTATTATAACAGAGCACTTTCTATTTTTCATAAATCATGTCCACAAGATCATCCAAATATAAAAGCCATCGAAAATAAATTGTCCTTATTACAACATAAAAGAAACTAAATTAGGTTGAAAGATTTGTTAGAAAGTGTCAGAATCAGCTGTTGCCATGTGTCACTATTATGCACTCTCTTTTATATTATAGATTACTTCCTTCCATTGTGCCATATGTACTTTTCATTCTGTTCTATTATCATGTACGTTTTTTTGTTTCACTTTCTTACCTTTCTGGTCAACGATAAGTTTTCTCTTTCTCTCTTAGTTGCTTTCCTTTCACATGCTCAGATATTGTCATATCCAATACATTGTTCATAAACCTTTATAAAGTTCCTGATTTCTTGTAATAAAGTGTCTGTGTATATATCGGCTATATTCATATTTAGTGATTGTCTAGTAGAAGTAGCAGCATTCCCGAGAGCAAAAACTTGACAGATTCTAAGCTAATCTACTCAAAAATGTGGTGATGTTTAGACGAAAGAACAAGCAAGCCTATACGCTCAATCGAATGTGAGTTTCATTTTTTTATAGAAAATAACTATTTTATGAGCACGTCATTGATATTGGCTACTAGCGGAATATCAACGTCGATGTGTAGTAGCTCTTCTAACAGCCCAGTTACAACGACTAACTACGCATTTTTGCTGAGTTTATTAGTGAAAGAAGTGATCAAAGATGAACAATATGTGTATCATTATCATCAACGATGATGTGGGTGTAAGTGTGGGGGTGTGAATGGGGTGTGGTTGGAGTGTGGGTGTGGTGTGTGGTGTGTGGGTGGGTGTGGGGTATGGGTGTGGGCATGGGTGTGGGTTGGATGTGTCGATGTGGGTGTGGGTGTGGGTGTGGGTGGGTGTGGGTTTGGGTATGAGTGCAAGCATCGTTTAAGAGATGATAGACACGCACGCACACACGCACACCCACACACCCCCACCCGCATCCACACTCACACCCCCACCCACACTTCACACCCCACACTCACACCCACACGCACACCACAAACCCACACCCACACCCACACTCGCCATCCACACCCACGCCCACACTCACACCCACACCCTATTATATATTGTTGACATTACGCGATTCACTGCCGCGTTGATAATAGCAATGCTTAGTTTAATCGATATTCTTAAGGAATATCTGGACTATCTAGAAAAATTTGGCAATTTATCAAAATTTACACAAACGATTTTTAGCATTCATTATAACCGACAATTTTAAGAGCTTCATCGAAACTTAAATGATCACGAGAATCGTGTTTCATTTGGTATGATGGCTTATAATTTCGCTCGGCCAAGCAAGATGGAAGCTCAACATGTTAAAGCAATATTATCTAATGCTCATAAACAACCCAGACGACGACAATTTGTTCAACCACAAGATACACGGGTTACATCTTTTGTATGTATGCAATAGTTTATTGTTGTGTTTTAAATTGTATACATATTTTAATAGAATAATTAATTTATGAAATGGTAGTGGCATGAGATTGTTATATCATTATGGATGAGAAGGAGAATATTTTTGTTAAATATTTCTTTTCAAATATATAGCTAAATATGAACCATTTATCAATTGAAAAAACACTTATTTTTTTCTTTTTATTACTAAAAAGGCCTCGAGTGTGTTTGTTTTATTATTTTAAATAAATATAATATTGCAAATCAATCTTAAACCGATATTTGTGATGATGAATCGATTATTTTGATTCAACATGAACATGTTCTCAAAATAGCAAATTAATTATAGTAGCTTATGATTACTGACTGTCGATAAGAGATTCGAATAGTATTTGAGAATCTGTGAGAACGATGCCATCTGCTATAGAGTGTATATATTAAATTAGCTTGTCAAATAGGAATATAATCATGAAATATAGCTTCTTTCTCGTCAAACTAGCTCGTTCTATGTAATTTGGTTGATTACACCATTGGTGATGCACTTGATCTCGTTTACGGCTTTGGTCTTGCAGTGCGTTCTTCTGCTTAACTCACTAATCCACTGTATGAAGTAGTTGTATAATCAGATGAAGTGCGTGGTAATCAAACAATTCGGTTACTTGTTCTACCTAATTATGCAACTAGTGGTAATAGTCATCGTTATTCCATTCTTTACTTATTGCATGATGCATATGGCGATGCTACAGATTAGACAACAGCTGGTGCAGCCCAAAATATTTGGGATAATGAATCTTTGATTACAGTTATGCTTGATGGTGATCCATTTGGATTCTATACGAATTGGATTAAACCTGGCAATACTATTCTACAACGTTGGCGTACATAGCATATGGAACAATCAGTACTTTAAATTGATTTTAATTTGCAAACGATAGCTAAAAACCAAGGTCTTTCAATAGGTGGACTTGATGTTATTCATTATGCTAAACTATATTCTGATAATTTTGTTTATGCTGAAAATTTTTTGATGCTGTCGATTTGCTTAAATATTTCATAATCCCAGTTTTTAATGTAGATTCGGAATGTGTAACAAGAGGTATAGATCAAAAAATTTCTGTGCTTTGGTTTTGATAGCATGCTTGATCTGCTAGTGAAGTCTACGTTAATGGCCAGAAATAAAAGAATGAGGAACACGTTAGGAGAAGAAGAACAGGACAATCTTGAAAGTACAATTTTCTCAATTTGATTTCGTCGTACAAGAGACAGGAAATCGAATTTACTTGTTAAAATTTACTTATATAGCTAATTCAAAGTAACTCTCAATCTTATTGTCAAGCGAAGTCAGGTTTGCATACGAATGAATCACAAAATTACCCTTCATCAACTTTAGTATTAAATAGGGAGAGAGACCATCAAAAATACATTGTAATAGAAGATGATCATGATGAAACAGATTATTCTCAGTTTCTAATTGAATAGTTCAGACAATAAAAGACATTTTCCTAGGTGTCAAATCATCTCATTGTCAGTATGTTTGAAATTATCTTTCTTTCAAATAAAAAATATCATCATCTACATGTATTGTAATATCTTAGGCAGTGTTATGACGGCCCTGGTAATTAAGGCGCAGGATTATGTTCTCTCGGCTCAGTTTTTACGATAATTGTGTCTTTCTTTTCCTACCTGCAAAACTGAGTGTCTTAGCTTCGGAGAAGACACGCACATTGACTTATTGAACGATAAGACAGAGAGAAAGACTGGCGTATTTTGAGAAAATGACTTGATAATCTATTGAACTTGTGCACTTGTATGTCTTCTGTAAATAAATAGACATCGTTTTTTAGAATTCATTCCGTTTATAAAGCTGCCATATCGGATGCTTGGTTCATTTTTAAAATAGGATGAGTAATGAGAAATAAATATAAGGTATGTCAGACTCCTCTGACTGACATGTACGCATTCACATGTCGAAAAGAATAAACTACTAACACTCTCATCTGTGAGGATTTATCGGCAAAATTATTTGTTAACGAAGTGACTTCGCAAAATTGCAACATGTACATCGTTGGATGATCAACTTTCCAAGAGCTAATTTTTATATTCTATATGTATGTTAAGTTACTTTGGATATCCTAAAAAAACCGCCTTTCAGATCTTCGTTCACAGGAGTTATTACTAAAAAAAACTAATGTTAGCGACGTGACACAAAAAAGTACATCAACTTCCACGTCATGCATTTTAGTTAAAAAAAAACTTTTAATTAATACAACATTTTTGAAAACTAAATAGTACATTCTGTAGACAACTATTGAAGCTACAAAATCTCTATGCAAAGTTTTTTAGTGAGCATGCCTAGATTTTTCAAAAAATTTGATTTACTTTTCGTTAGGGACTTGACACTTTCGTTAGCGACGTGATGGAGTATGAATATGCAGAGGAAGAAATGCTCTTATAACTGAATAAAAAGTTCAAAACCAATGCCAAATGGTACAAATTATTCTTCAGGGTCTTCACATTGTCACAGGACAAAATTTTTCGTTCTGGGATTTGATAGGATCCCTAAAGAACCGATTTTTATAGGAGAAATTTTTCGAACCCGATCTTGCTGAAAATTTTACCATAAATGTAACTCGTGCTGTACAGTCTATCCTGAAATTTTTGAATATTTTTCTCATATAGTTAGCAAGATATTCACTAATTACTTCTTAATTAATTAATTAACTAATCCATTTTAATTAATAGTCAACTGAAAGCGCCAACATTTTTACATATGTTTATGCTAAAAGAACTTATTCAGAAAAAACACCCTTGTAAAAAGTTAAAGTCAAATGATTGGGGGGTATGTCCCGTTTTGTCTGATTTTGCTCATATATCTGCATGCCTCATACAACTGTAATTAGACATTTTAAGATCCAAATATGCTACATTGCTCTAATCATCACTCAAACATTTATCGAATCGGTGACAATAGAGGAAACATTAATACCATCTGAATTGCATATGTTTGCATGAACTTCTTCATTATTCGGAAGAGTATAATTGGATAAATGACTACTTGTACACATTCTTCAGCACTTTAAGAGACTTCTTTCAAATATATTTTTAAAAACACTAAATAAGTAAGAAAAAAAATTCAAATACACCATATAGTTCGATATCGATAGTTAGTAAATAAAAGACACTTTTGTTCAATATTTCAAGTCATTCTTGTCATTATGATTAACCACCTAAATCGAACCAAAATATACATTTCTCTGAAAAACTTTAAAAATGTTTCTAAAGATTCTACTTACTAATAGAACAATTTGCTGGTATTTCAAGCATAAACTTTTGAACTCTGTTATTATCTCGATCACTCACATACAAGTTGCCACTTGCATCAAATTTTAAATCTCGTGGAGTATTTAATTGGTTTGATGCATTTCCTACTGAACCAGTACAACCAGCAATACACGTACCACCTGCTGCATAGTTACTAGTCCATTTAACAATTCGGTTATTTCCGGAATCGGCTATAAAGTAGTATCTATGAAATATAAAGAAATCATCAAAATTAAAACGGATAATTTAATTAGTTTATACTGAATTTAAGATATCAGTTTGCAAACAATAGTGTTACATCCATCTGATGCATATACAAAGTTAGAATGAGAGTACGTAATACTCGATAGTTCATCATATCTGTTCCCGAACAAAGGTCATTTCACTTTTATATTCTTATCGTCAAGATTCAACCCTCATTCTCTTTCGACACGTCCTTATTTTTATTCCTTACAATGACAACAAATAAAAATACCGCGAGTAACTGTCTAATAGGCAAATTTTTATGTAGTAGTTATTTTATCCTAATTTAAATTCGACTTCTCAATTACATACCCATTATTATCGACAATAACCTGCATGGGACTCTTCAATCTCAATAAACCTGAACCAGGTGTATTTGTGATACCGGCTATAGTGGTTCCATTTGTTGCTCCGGCTGGCCACATCTGAACACGATGATTTCCAGAGTCTGCTACATATAACGTGTCATTGCCATCAATAAAATTTCCATATGAGCCCTGAAGCTGATGAGCTGCAGAACCTGCTCCACTGTTGCCCGCTAGAATAACACCAATTCCATTATTTGGATAAAATTTAACAACTCGACTGTAATCTGAATCTGTTACATAGATATTATTATTAACATCTATATGTAAATCTCGCATATCACCAAGTAAATTTGCTGAACTATTGAGAGCTACTGTCGTTGCTACTGTGGAACCAAAAGGAAAACGTTGTATTCGAAAATTTCCTCCGTCAGCAACGATAATGGCACCCATCTGATCAACGGCAACGCCTTTCGGCGATCTCAGTTGACTGGGACTATTTCCGGGAGTTCCATTACCAGCCACAACAACACCGGTCGTAGCATTAACAGCATATTTAACAATTCGATGGTTGTCTCGGTCGGCAATGTACAGAGTGTAATTGTTATCGAGAAAAATCCCCACAGGAGCATTGAGAGATGCTGCATCACTGCCAGCTGTTGTGTTTGCATTACCAGCCACCGTTATTCCAGTCTTGTTCCATGTAGCACATGATGGAATTTGCAGTGCATAAATACCAGTTGGAACATCTAAAGATAAGTAAAATAAGCCATGATCTTATCAAGAAATAAGAAAGAAAACTTTACAAGTGATCATTGTTGTGGCCGTTGTGTCGGTGGTGGTAGAGATAGTACTAGACGTCGTGCTTGCAGTAGTTGTAACTGTTGTTGTCTGAGTTGTCGTACTGCTAACGGTGGTTGTCTCTGTTGTTGTCTGAGTTGTCGTACTGCTAGCAGCGGTTGTAACCGTTGTTGTCTGAGTTGTCGTACTGCTGACGGTGGTTGTCTCTGTTGTTGTCTGAATTGTTGAATTATTTATTGTGGTCTGATTTGTCATATTGCCTGTCGTATCCATCGTCGTCGTCGATGTCAATACTTAAAAAGTTCTACTTATAAGAACATATCTCTCCCAGAGAGAAACGCATTTTATACGGAGACAACTGTTATGAGTAATATTTCATGATCTGAGAAAAGGATCTCAAAATATGAATGCATTCAATAAGCGCCTTGTTAAACAAATAGTTGCTTTACACATTTCAGATTGACAAAAATGAAAAGATTTCGAAAACCAAATATTTCAATCGGCTCGTGTTAGAGCGCATTTAGAGATTCGATTCATATTGCCTGTTCTTGTAATAAAATGCGCTTCAGAGACGTACACTGCGCCGAAAAACGAGACAAGGGCAGTGCAGAGGATGACAGCAGGGTAACGGTCACCGCTCTAGAGTCTTTTCGACCGACGGCGTGGCCGCGGTCAACAGTAACTGGAGAAGTTTTTTTCAATTTCACAGATTAGTATCAAAATGAGTTCATAAAACTAACGGGGTCTCATAACGTTTGATATACAATCTTTCTTAAAAGTGTACATCTCTCATACAATTGAACATAGTTTCGATGAAATTTTTCTGAAATCATGGAATTGAAACAAAACAAGATGTGCTCTTCTGTGTTCGATCATTAAGGTGGTAGATCTATGTTCAAAAGTAACTGTCAATATCAGTTGACACATAATGAAAATTTTAAGAACAACTAACTCTTCTCGAATTAAAGATTATACATCTTACTTGTTGCCGTTTTCGGTGTGCTTAGAGATGAAATAAGAGCTGCAGCAATAGCTGCACCAAGCAAAATAGCAGCAGATAAGGAAAAAAATATACACAAGCGTGAACATCGACAATGATAACCACTAAAAGTATCCGCATCAATATCATATATGTATTAAGAGTACATGAGAAAACACTTACGCTCCTTTTTGTCTTTTTTTTCTATCTTTTTTATTTAATTCTTCATGAGATTCATTTTTAAAATTCATTCGACTCGGCCATCTATCGGTACTCTATTTTCATACAAGAGACAAAGATAAGACAGAAAAAAAATGAAAGAAATATTTACTTTTGAATAACTCCGACTGTCACTTGACCACACATCACGAGTAATATTCTACGAAAAATAAATTTAATCGCTAAACGGAAATCATCTTCAGCAGTACTCACCTGATCCTGATCTTTTTTAGCTGATAAGAATATTCTATCTAAAGTTTTTTTCGGAGTGTTCTTTCCTTCATTGATGTGTGTTGAATCATTGTTTTGTTGTTGCGAATGATTTTTTTCGTTGTCACTTTCCAATCGATTCCGATATGACTATGATCAAAACGATAAAACATCGAAAAATTAACACATCATTTGTTTTACTTGCGGATATGAATGGGCAGAGCGTTTAATTTTATTCACACTGATTGAATATCTTTTATTTTTTGATCTGTCATTTGATTCGTCAGTGATTATTGATCGAATTTGATTGCTTATGATACTTGGTCTGTTCGATGATCCAATAGTTGTATGAATGATAGTGTTGGGTCGGATGTGTGCCGTCGATATTTGATGTGATCGATGACGAAATAATTTGACAACGCGAGGTTTCGATGATAGTTGACCACCTAGATTGTGTTATAATCTGAGGGAAGAATTATGAAGAACGCTTACTTTCAGTTTTCTTTGCATGTATTTTATCTGCAACCTTCATCAATGTAATTTTCTATACCTTCCAAGACAAACTTTCTAGACGGTTTATTCTACATACTGGATGCCTGTAACTGGCTTACTTCATACACTAACAACGCAACCTACACCAATCTTCAAACTTAATTATTGTATGTGTTTTTCGGACAAAGAAAAGAAAGTATGCTTGATGTCATGCAAAGGTTTCATATTTTCGAATGCTATTTATTCAAGATTGATTACTGTATTATTTGACAAAGAGAATTGAATTATTAGTTCGACCTTATTTGCGCACTTCGTTGAAATTGTTAAAGCTGTGTTGATGAAAGTAAATAAAAATATGAATGTGGATCAGAGTTGTAACCGGCCCGGCGAAACCGGCCCGGACCGGCCGGTCCGGGCCGGTGCCGGGCCGGGCCGGTTTGAACAGCTAGACCGGCCGGTTTTTACCGGTTTTTGCCGGTTTGAAAAAGTTGTGTTATTATTAATTTTTTAATAAGACAATACTATTTATTTCTGTTCATTACAATTTTTGAAACGAAAAGAGCAAAAGTTTTGTTTTTCGATGTAAATTCAAATTTTTCTATACATTAAATTTCCTCTTAAAAGATTGCTATTATCTGCTATTTACAACATCTTAATAATCAGAACAGTGTCACATATTGATTGTTATTTTTTTTTATGTATTCCTTTTGATATTAATTCAATTCTTGTTAACATGCCGACACATTTTTAATTAAATTAATAGAAAAGAGAGTAGGCCGTCAAGCTGATTGTACAGATAGATATACGCACGATACGATAAGTATTCGTCATATTTTTTTTTATTCAACACAGTAAAAGTACGTAACATAAACTTCTTATTTTTATAATTATTATGGATGCGGACACATAGTTTGTTAATTTAATATGTATCATTATGATATTTTTTTTGTGTAAATTTTGTATATAATAAAAGAAGAAATTTAAATCAATTATCAGCTTTTGCAGAAAAGAACTTTATTTTGTCCAGAACATATTCAATCGTAGAAATTTGTGTTATTCTTTGCTATGAAAATGATAATATACATGAAAAGGAAAGTGTAAAAACCAATTTATGGATAAAAGTCTATGTCTAGAACTAGTTTTAACATGTAAAGAAAATTCATACGTCTGCCGGTTTTTGCCGGTCTAGAAATATTTTTAGACCGGCCGGTCACCGGCCGGGCCGGGCCGGTCTAAGATTTAAACCGGTCAGGCCGGTCCGGTCTGAATTTTTTTGACCGGTTACAACTCTGATGTGGATATATTTTTTTAAAGAAATACTGCATAAATAAAAAGAAATCAAGCCGAAATTTTTTTTTTATATTGTTTGAAGTTTGATTTTACGCAAGAGTCTATAGTCTAAAATGTGTTAGAAAGATGGATGAAGAATCTCAAAAAGAACATAAAATAAAACAGTCGGGGGACAAAATTCTTATTTTCATCTCATCACGATTCAAACGTGAATCGAACTTTTTATATAATTATTGTCATTTCAGTCGGTATTGATTAAATACTTGAAAACCAGTTTGATTATCAACGTTAAAAGAACAGCGTTGAGGATAGTGAACTTGCCAAAACTGGAGTGATTCATGATAATTATGTTCTACACGTCTAAACAAGATTCTTTCTCTTTCTTGTTAATCGATATTGCATTCATTGGGTCTCAAATCCTTCGTAGTTACAAGGATGAATTAGAGTCAAAACAAACCAAACAAATCTTTTTTTTTTAAATAATAGTTTTATTGCTCTCATAAGGGTCACCAAGATTCATGTAAAACTTAAACGCACATGGGATGCATATAAATGCGCTTTTTTTCTTATGGTGCTAGTTTTGTGAAACTCACAAAAATTCACTAGGAACAATATTTTTAAGAATTAAAAAACACGGACTCCAATTTGATCGAAGTATCGAGAAAAAAGTTTTAGCTCTATAGGTCGTACCATGTAGGAAAAAAAGGAGAAAAACTTCAATTTTTTATTCAAAAATCGGAAAAACTAAAACTTTATGTCTCACGAGCTGAGATGTGTGTACGTCAAAAATTTCATCTACAACAATTTAGAGAAACTATTTTGTTTCTCAAATACATTTGCAAGGCAAATACTACAATAGCATTGCTATTCGCTGATGTATTATACGATTCATCTATTTGCGGCCACTCTTGCTTTGCTTGACCGTGAGTTTAAATTTACCGCAGAACAAGAGCTGATTACGTGGTGCATCACGGTCATAAACCGCCAGCTTGAAAGAAAAATCACCGGGTTGCAAAATGAAGAAAACCATCGAAATATTAATCAAGCCAAACACTCGATAATGAAGATTGACTTCTTGACTCGGTACTGTGTCGAAAGAACATTGACCGTTGAGGCCCAGAAGAGAAAATATAGGTTTCCATATGTGGAAACTTGAACAATTCAAAAATAGATGACCCTTTCTAAATGTACTCGTATGTATAGAAAAAAGGAAGCTGAGATAATATCCGAATAACCCATCCCGTGTTTTCCAGCAACGAGTTATTCATGATTTAACACAGATGATAACCGGCATAGCCACATGAACCGAGGGTGTAGGTGTTGGTCTCCACGCCCACACTCACACCCACACCACCAAGCATAGATTTTTCTTCCTTGACGTTACTTTTCACTCTTGTGAGTTGTATATGGTTGACTAAAATATAGTTTCTTTTAATTGCACTTAATCAACATTGTCGAAATCATGCAAGGAAAGTCGTATTTTTTAATGAAAAATTGTTGATGTAGACTATTTTGTTGGGCGTACGTTAAAATTGTATTTGGAAAAATTGATATACTTCAACTTGCTTGATTCATTCTGTAACAATCATCTTTGTTGTTTATTTATTGAAATCAATTTTTGCATGAAATAAATCTGTACTAAATAAATGCTTCAATTTTTCATTCAGTTTATAACGATTTCATTCTTCAAAATATTGTAATAGCCAAAACATGTCTTTTCAACTCTGTAAAAATTTATAAGATCATCTTCACAGGTAACATTTTAAGATGATCTTCAGAAGTATTGGTCTAAGATACGAACGTAGCCACAGGGGAGGAATATTCGTGTTCGATTTTCAGTGGCTGAGGTTGGAAGGATCATGCGTATTGATTACAGATCAATGCGTCTTTCTCGACTAATCGATCCTATTTCCTGAACAACGAGTGCCCAACAATGACCGTCACAAAATAAAACGAAAGCAAAATGGTCAATCGCGCGCTCGAATCTCCGATCAGCCAAAGTAATGTTATTCCGATCAACAACAAGACTTCGTTGTTCTTCAATCAGACAACGACTAAGATCAGAACTGATCGCCACGCAAATCATATATGTTTAAATGGAAAAATCATTGATAATAGATCGAAAAAAACAGTGCGACTGCGGACACTTGATATTTTCTTCGACGAAAGAATATTTCTTTCTAAACAATTTGAAAATATGTTCACCTTGACTTTTTAAAGAATGTATAGATAATTATTGAAATTTGAATCATTCAGTGACATCGTATTCATTCTGACTATGAAACATGTAAAATTCTAATTTCATCACTGAAAATGAAGGATTAGAGAACGTGATTCTTGTTGAAGTACAAGCTTCAAACGGTTTTGTCTGGTTCAACTGGACCAGTTTCAGTTTTGTTTGTGCTCAAAAGAATAGAAAAACGTGGGTGCTACTGTTGTTTGCCTTTTAAAATCGCCCGAGACTGACGGTGAGTCCTCTTCGATTTCAAATCCTGGTTACTTCACAACAGGCGATATCGTTTGTTTTAATGTTATTTATTTTGCAATCAATCTTTTTCGCAGTGTATATGTCATGTCAATTAATTTTTTCTTTTTGTTCTTTTGTTCGTATAATAAAGCAAAAATTCTTCATTCATCGTAGAGCAACGAAAATGGTGCCGATGGTTGAAGCCTAAAGATACAAAAAAAACGATTCCATGAGAAATCAGTGTCTCATTTTCTACAAGAATTGCCCATTCAGGATAGTGCAATGGACAAATTTGATAGTGTGTTTTTCTTCATCTTGATTCTTACCAATTCTCTTTACAGTAAATCGAATTGTGCGTTTCAAAAAGGTGAATTGCAAAGATTTGTCTTGACTTCGGTGATTTATCTAAGTAAAGATATATAACAGAAAATCGATCCAAATTCTGTGTTACATACTTTGTTCACTCTTGTGCACGACTTGAGAATGAATGAGGATGGCATCACCTGAAAATAAATTTTTGTTAGCGAAATAAACAATGTAACAGTATTCGATTATTCTACCAGCTTTGACTTCAACAGGAACAAAGGCATTACTGTCATACTGTTCTTCTTCTCCTATGAAAATGAGCGCTTTGCCTTCATTAAATTCTTGTTCATTGGGATTCCGAATCAAGCGTCGTTGTCTCGGTTCTAAAAATTCTCTGATCCGTTACGAACATATGTACAAAAAAGACTTACTGGCATTTGAACCTGGTATCATCCAGAGACAACCATTTTCGATAGTAGCATCTTCAAGAGCAATCCAGATTCCATCTACTTTCAACGGTTCATTGAACACGTATGTTGCATCTCGATGAGGTGTCACTATGGAATAGAAGAACAAACAATTCAGTCATCCTGTAAACAGATCAGATTTACCTTTCTCTCCAATAAATGGCTGTTTAAAGATGTACATCGTTTGACGTATAGCAGGTTTGATAAATTTAAGATCGTGGGCAATGGCCTAATGAATCGATTAGGAATGGTAAAAAAGGATTATCATACGTTTTACTTTGATTTTATCTGAAAATGTCACTGCCTTGAAGTTAGATTCGTGAATATGAAGAGTAAGACCAAAACCATTCACACTAAGATGTTTGTCACGATTAAGTTTGCCTGTTTTGAATCGACAGAAAACAACCGACTGAAATGAGAGAACTGCCTTTCTTATTTACACAATACCTGTTTGAGGATCAATAGCATCGCCTTCGATAGAAAATGTAATCTTAGTGCCATCATTATTGACCATTCGTCGATACCTGGCTCGTTCCTTTTCTGCATCACTTAAAAATATCCACGAATATTCTTCATCCGGTTCCCAATCATCGATCAGTCGGTGAGCGGCTGCTTTCAATTTTTGACATTCATCAAGACTTAACAGTTGTTCCAGGACAAGAAAGCCATCTTGTTCGTACTACTCTAGTTATAAGCAAAATTTCACAAGAATAATCGACAATAGAAGTAAACCTACACGGTCAATTTGCTCTTGAGTTAACATTTTTGTTTGACAAAGAGATGTGAATGTGTGTTCGTGGTATCTCACAATCTTTTATTTATTAAAGATAAAAAAAACAATAACAAGAGAAGAAGACAATGCAGCAAAACGACGTGCAATATTGATGACCTAAATACATCCTGAGATAGTGACAAAGCACTTGATAGAACAGTCATTCTGGCTTGCTGACTCAGATTGCTCGAATTTGGCTATATTAGCCAAGTGTGGAGTGTGGATGTGGGTGGGTGTATGTGTGGCTGCGAGTGTGTGTGTGGGTGTGGGTGGGTGTGGGTGTGCGTGTAGGTGTGGATGGGTATGGGTGTGGGTGGGTATGCGTGCGGGTGTGGCTGTGGGTATGTGTGTATGTAGGAGTGTCAGCGGTCCCGTTCTTCAGCGCTCCGTTTCTAGGAACGGGGACGCATCTCAAAATTGCGTTTTCTAGCCTTGTTCCAATATGGCGAGGGTTGTAGACATGTTCTCTTGTCTTTTTATGTTAGATTGTCTGGCGTCTCCCGTTCCTGGGAGCGGGGAACGTGACACATGTCCCCTGTACATTTAACGAAAGGCTTCCGAATTCATCGAACGAAAAGCAATTTCCTAAAAATTACAGTTTTTTAAAAAGTTCGACTGAAGGCAATCGAGGTTGAGGAATCAGAATCTCTAATCAGTTTTTCAAAATTTTGAGTTTGATTTTTTCTAGTGAAAGATATTTTTTTAGCAAAAGCCGATCTTTTTCCGCAAAAAAACCTTCTTTTTATTAGAAACTCACTTTTTTACTAAAAAATACATGTTTAGTAAAAAAATTAAACTCAAAATTTTGAGAAAGAGATTACAGCTTCAGATTCCTCGACCTCGATTACTTTCTGCCAAGCTTTATAAAAAAGTCGTTATTTTTCAAAAATAGCCTTTCCTTGACAAGAAAAATTAAACTCAAAATTTTGAGAAACTGATTGCAGATTTGGGTTCCTCGACCCCAAATACGTTCGCTCAAACTTTATGGAAAATCGTAAGTTTTAGGAAATTGCCTTTCGTTCGATGAATTCGGAAGCCTTCTGTTAAAAGTGAAGGGAATCCATGTCGCGTTCCCGTTCCTGGGGACAGGAACGTAGTAGCGCTCCCCGTTCCTAGGAACGGAACGCCAAAGTGACACCGTTAGGTGTATGTGTGCGTGTGGCTGTGGGTGTGTGTGTGGCTGGGTGTGGCTGTGGGTGGGTGTAGGTCAATATATAAAACCTACACTTACACCCGCACCCATTCACACCCACCCACACCCACCCACATCCACCCACACCCACACCCACCCACGCCCACACCCATGCCCATCCACACTCACACTCACACCTACCCACACGCACACCCTTATTGTTTGTATTTGCGAATAAATGCATTGCTCAGTATTTGAAAAAAATTTATGTATTTTTGCTACAGTAACCCCGTCCCCAAAGGGTTAGTTGGCCTGAGGGCATTTAGTCTTAAGACAAAACTCAATAAAAAAAATCTAAGTTAAGTTAGTCTTTTTTTTTGCTGCTGATAGTTGAGTGAAGTCGTAGTCTATTCTCTATCACAGCCTATCAGTTGACTTCGTAAACTGACCTAGAGGAATTCCTCGAACCTGAAAGGCGAAGCATTGTTCTGCTCAGGTGTGGGTGTGTGGATGTGGGTGTGGGTGTGGGTGCAAGTGTGGGTGTGGGGTGAATGTGGGTGTGAGCGGGTGTGGGTGCGAGTGTGTGGTGGGTGTGTGTTTGAAAGAAGTAACAACACCCACACCCACACCCATCCACATCCATACCCACACTAACACCCACCCAGACTCACACCCACACCCTGCTACTTTTTATTCTATTATTTAAAAAAGAATGGTAATGAACATCGATTAGTTATGAACTTGTTGAACAATTATTATCTCAATCAATTGAATTTGTAAATACCTTTATTGATGTTTGACACTAAGTACTATATGTCAAATTTTTTATTGTTTTTTCATGGTTCTCTCTGACTTTCGATGATATTTCATTGATAAACTCGATTTCTACAAATAAAAAAAAGTACCATAAAATATAAGTACATTCTTGATAAATACAGCAAAGTAATAAGAAAATATTTTACAAAATTTATTAGTGACTGTTTTATCTAGTCGATTGGTAATGAAAGGGAAAATAGAGAGAGAGAGAGAGAAAGACCTTATGTCTCCTACGACAAAACATAAAGCTATTGATACCTTTTTTTTGTTTTGACATTTCGTTTTTGTTAATGTGAATCTAGATTAGACTCATTTTGTCATTTACTTGTTACTTTGTCCTATAGTTTATGTCTATAAAAAGAAAAAGAACATCATTTATTCTTTGATTGGTTTTAAGTGTTTCATGTTTTCATTATATAGAAGTAATTTTCAACAAGTGACAACTCCGTCACATCCACATTTAACGCATACTAGAGGTCCACACCAAACGAGTGAACAACTACTTGATACAATTAATAAACTTCTCGATCGATTATCATCTGTTGAACCATTTTGTCTTGAGGAACTTGAACAATGGCGTAACACAGCTTATCAATCTATAGATCAATATTGTGAAAAAAAACGTCATGATTTAATTGAAAAACGACAAGAAAAACATCAAATAAATCTTAGTCATTTTCAAAATGAAGTCAATCAATTAATTAAAGAACCAAATCTAACAGAAAATCAGTATAGTTCAATACAGCATGATATTCAATTAGAAGAAATTAAACTTAATGAGTTTGAACACTTTCGATTAACTCTTAGTCCATTAATCATCGATGAAAATCTTGTTGTTCAACAACATATTTTTCCTCTATCTCATCCTTATCGAACCATTCATATGAAAAATGGTATTGAAAGTACAATTGCGGCTAATGATAAATATCTTCTTATTGATCGAGAAGATAAGTCTCTATGTTTACTTGATCGAAACTTAAATATTGTTAATGAAACATCATTTACGCATAATGGTGTTCGTAGTATTTGTTGGTCATCGACAATTAATCGATTTATCATAATTACATTGAAAGAAATATTAACACTTGATGCAAATACAATGACACTGGAAAACTGTTCAATTTCATTTAGTGAAAACTGGTGGCGTGGCACGTGTTCAGAAGACAATTTATTTTTATCCACAGTAGAATGGGGTTCACCCATTTATGAATTTAATCTTCGATCATCGTTTGAATTTATAAAAAAATGGCATTCACCAATTACATGTGAAACAAATGAAGTTATTTGTGATTTAAAATATAAGAATAGTTTTCTTGCCATGCCTATTTTTAATGAACTTCAGGAAGAAAGCCGTATTGATTTACGTTCGTCAACAACATTCGAATGTATTTGGTCAGTTCGAATTCATGGACGTTGTCGTTGTTGTTCAATTAATGTTGATCAATGGTTAGTAATGGATCAGCTTGATGGTCGATTCTTTCATATTTCGGATGATGGAAAACTTTTAAAATCGGATAAATACCATCAACATGAACGAGTCGTAGATATTCTTCTATGGGGTGAAAATGATATGGTCGTCTTAACCAAAAAAAGTGTTAACTTGCATGAACTTTAATAATAATTTAAAAAAAAATTCAACATATAGACTATTTTTGGGTTATTTGGGTTAAAGATAGCTTTTTCTATATAAATATACATCGTAAAATAAACTCGATTAGCATAAGATGATCAGTGAATTCATATTTAAAGAGAAATAATCGTTATTTTCAAGTAAAACAAAAGATTATTATAGAAGTGATTTCGCAATGATGAGTGTTATTTTTCTGAGCGTATTGTACCTTCAAGATACATTTGAATGTTTTCTTCTATTTTATTTCTTTCAACTTCATTTCTTCAACCAAGATTCTATCTGTCTGTTTATAATAGTTTTATGCCTATTATCTGATTGTATCTCAAGCATAAAATGCAAGGTTAGTTCTGTCTTTTTTTATCAATTTAGAAAATTTTTCTTCAATCTCAATAATTTGTTGTTGCTGTTCATTAGATACGTGCTTTAGATGAGCTTCTGTTCAGAAACGATCATTTTTTCATTTTTCTTTGATCTTTCATCTCATTCTTATGAATAATGAATTATGATTGACATTAAGGCAATGACCGTCAACCAATTATCTGATATAGATTCGACTCTTTTTGAAACTGGCAATACTGTCCGTGTAATGTCACCGTTCGATAAGATAATTCTTTTTTGTGGATGTGGAGTTTGGGTTTGGATGCGTGGGCAGAAGAAGTTGGGTGTGGGTGTGGAGTGTGGTCGATTGGAGAAAAATAAGCTACACCCACACATCCACATAATTTTATGGCTTATTGACGAATATTGTTAAAATTTTGATCAGAAAAATTAGAATTTTAATCAAAACTAATATCATCTTTGGAATTAGTAATAAAATGTCAACTAATTATTCATAGATGTTCAAAATATTTTTATGAACTTTGTTTATTATTGGAAAAAATTCCTCTGGTTCCTCGTAAGATTTAGCTGAAAATAAATCCCACTAAAATCTCCTATGAACCATGAAGTCTTCACTCAAACTTTGTAAAATAATATTAGAACTAGCAAACATCAATCAATATCTAATACAAATAGTGTTGCAGAGAATTTTTATTGGTTAAACTTAACAAAAACTAGAGGTACATTTTTAAAGAAAGAACAACATTCATAAATATAGCGTAAATATGCTAAAATTAGTCAGCTTCCTATGCTAAAGTCAAGGATGATATTAATTATTAGTGAAGCAGTATTCTCTTCTAATCATAGTCTAATAAAGAGTTGACAATAATTACAGATTTATATTCTTAGACTTTCTTAGTCTGTAAGGTTCATCATTGTGTAGATTGTGAAAATTATTATCCATTGGTAAATAAATATTTACTAGAATAGAATCGCCCATGTGCGCATCAACAATTAAACCGCTTCTCTTAGGTTTTCAGTGTTTAATCTCTTGTGATTAAGGATATGGCCATGTCTGCTTCAATCTGTAGGAAGGCAGTACAGGTCTCTGATCAGCATATGTGCATGAACATGAGCTTATATATTGATACAACTAGTAAACTATTTGTTCTAGATAATAGCACTCAAAGCAGTTAATGACTTACACTCATTTGACTATATAACAAATATGAACTCAATTGTGGGCTTAATACGAAAATTTTATCAGATCAAAGTCATTTGAAACTAAAAATCAAACTTGAGATTGAAATAATTTCGTAAGCTGTCGGTGAGCGTGATCGGCTGTTTTAAAATATGAGTCACTGGAATAGGAAAGTGCACTATTTCGATTATTTGAAAGCTACATATAGATGTTTTGACTACTTGTTCTAATAGTGATAGGTCCACTATCATAATTAAGATTTCCAACATCAAATTTATAATGACAAAGTAGGGTCGCTTTGTCAAGTATTACACTAGTGCTTTTGACAAAAAAAATGATAAAAATATGATCAATCAGATCATAAAAAGAGCTATTATCAGTCACGGCATTTAGTCCTATGTAGAACATATTTGTTTTACTCATTGTAGACACAGCTGAATTAGTTAGGTTCTAGTAAGTATCCAAAACTGAAATGGCATTAAAATATAAATTTGTCGATCCACTGACATGGTTAAATGAGAGCATGAGGCGTACGTCGACCATCCTTGACAAATATGTTGCTCAACCGAAACAGATATTTCCTGAACTATCTTGCCATAATTGTTTAAAGACCATTTTTTAGTGCACCAACTTACATTTTTTAAATATTAACGAATAGATTTTTTATGATGTGTTAATAACTGATTAGAGAAAAGGAGAATTTACTAGTCATGAAATAATGATTAATTCTTGAATCTATAAATTGTAACTTCGATGATTAAATTTCATATTAGGAAAAAACGAAGTCAGAAATACTATTTCTATTTCGTTCTATAGTAAACCTCGTCACGTATGTGGATGTGCTATATTTTTTGTTCGAAATAATGTATCTTTATTGAATAAACAGTTTCGCTAATGATCACACCAATAAAGAGTTGAATGAAGAAAATGCTGCAAGGTCTTCTCTAATGCACAGGTATCTTTTGAAAATTATTCTCATGAATAAACTTATCGTTTTTTTTCCATTTATAGGTAACAACATAATAATATTGAACTCTAAATATGGCTTGAAAATAGTAAACAACAACTGAATTTAGCATGTATTTTTTTATTTAAGTATAATTAACTGCAAAAGTCATCTAGAAAATTAGAAACTAAGAATTAAAAATTAAAAATTACTCTCGTATATTTGATTTTCTTGATAAATTATGTATGGTATCGAAAATGTAAATAAAAAAAATGCAAGATAGACATTATTCGATAAGATTGAATTCAACTTGAATAAAAAAAATAGAGGAAGAAGGAAACATTGCTCTTCGAATACTCGTCAGTTTTTGTTGTTGTTGTTTTTTCGTTCTTTTTTTGATAGAGAGAGAATTTCGTAAAGAACATTTGAAGTTACTGAATTAGTCAAAAGATCTTGAGTGGGTGTGTGGGTGAAACGAAAATACACACCCACACCCACGCACACCCACACCCACGCACACCCACACCCACGCACACCCACACCCACACCCACACCCACATCCACACCCACACCCCCACCCCCACACCCCACACCAACACCCACGCACACCCACACCCACACACCCACACCAACACCCACACCCACACCAACACCCACACCCACACCCACACCAACACCCACACCCACACCCACACCCACACACCCATACTAACACCCACACTAACACCCACACCCACACCCCACACCCACACTAACACCCACACTCACACCCACACCCACACTCACACCCTTATTGTTATTTAGAAATAACAATAACAATAACAAAAAATGTTATTATTCCATTTCTCAAAATATTTACAGTAAGTTCTTATATCAAATGGTAGGAAGAGATACTATATGAATAAAGTAATCCATTGATGTTGGTGCAAACTATGCTTAGACTTGTTTCATTGATTTTTCTAAATAAAAAAGTTAATGTTATTGTTATTAATAACAAAAAAATAACAATAACTTTCTCACCCCTAGTTGTTATAATATTATTTGATACACATAGTCATTGATCCATTACAGCTTTAGCAATTGAATGCATAAGATAATCAATATAAAATTCAGAGTTACTTCGATTTGTTATACGCTAAGGTGAAAGTGTATGATGTACTACGAATTGATTATCATATAATTTTACAGAGTGTGATTGTTTAAGTAGTTATTGCAGCTTTTTACCAAGACTCACACCCACATCTCACAGCTGTAATTTGTGATTTCGAAAAGGGTTTTATGAATGTTGTTGTGAAAGAAGTATGTTTTCCTTCTAATTTTGTGAAGCAGAACATCTAAAAATGTTTATTCTCTTCTGTCTCCGAACTTTAGGTAGTAGAGACAGTTATAACTGGCGATTGATTTCACTTTTATCAAACATACTATTAGAGTACTTTATTTTAAACTATCGACGTCATCCGTTAGTAATAGTTCATAGCGAAAAAACAACTTTCCTGAAGATAAAACAATGCTGAAGAGATTTTTTCATGCGTTGTACACATATGCAGATCTCTAGCAGAGCTGCCAACAGGCCAGGCTAAGAATAAGGTGCTTGGTCTGGCCTGCAGGCTTTTGAGAGAATAGAAAAAATTTATCAAATATTTTACTACTTTCATGGATAAAATTGTACAATGGGCATCAGACTTCTATTCATTATCTCATGCTAGTCGTGATCGCATATTTCTTCTCAATTAAGATGATGAAATTGCGAACTTTTCCAAGAAATAGAAAATCAAAAGATACGCTGCTGAAAAAAATAGTCTTGCTTATGCAGACAGTTATTCCTTCAAACCCATTCTACTTTCATCATGGTTGTTCCACAACAGTGAAAAACATATACTGTAATAAATATAACATAAAAATTGAAAAATAGCAAATAGTATTAATCTAAGTCAGAAATGTTTGCTGCTTCTCTTTGTTTGCTGAATAATGCTTGTTGAATTTTATTATTTGTCAATTTCATTTTGTATAAGAATACATTATCCTTCCCTATTGAGTCGCATTCTAACTTAATCATAAGTCAGCATAAAAATACGAAAACAAGCAAATTAGTTTACAAGAATCATCTATCCTAAAGAAAAAATATAGCCTTTTGAGTTGATGTAAGCTATCGGAGTTAGGTACCACTTTGAATCTTCATTGTTAATACTGAGACAGAGTGGATGAGACCATTGAATATCACTAATGATCATCATTGTTATTCATTGCAGGACATAGTGAGGTCACACATTCACAATTCTGTTTACAAAAAGACTCGCATAAAATATTGTAAATCGAGACGTGCAACAGGTGTTTGTTTTAAAATTAAAGCATGTCATTTTAAAATTTGTTATAAATTTTAAAATTTGTTATAAATTTTAAAATAGAAATTTAACTGCAATCACTTTGTCTAAGTATTTTAAATCTGCAATGCCATTTCGAATCAGAATGGATCAATGCACAACAAATTTGACTACATATCGTTCAGGCCACAAGTTTCGG